CCAGTCAAATAAACCCTCAAGCAAACGACCCTCAATGTACATGCTACGTGCTGACTACCTAGGAGCATACACTGGTGTTGCCATACCGCGTAGAATGACTAGATTGAGCAAATTGGTTCCAGCTGCTTGGCCAAGCAGCAGCAATGTTGGATCCCAATCATAATTGTACGTCCCCTGCACTTCCCAGACCAGCGTGCCGGCAATCTGAGCAGGGGTCGGCAAATGAACCGGCGAGCATTGGGCATGACGCTTGACTGACAAACAAAGGAATCTGCATCACGTGCGCACCTCACCAGCATCTGGATCCGTGTCCGTGAAGGAAACAAAATTCAAGGGCGGTGCTGGCGCTGCTGAGAGATGCCAGTCGAAACCTCCAGCCGAGACGACGAAAACAGAAAGAATCACAGCCGCCTAAAAACCAGCGCAAGCAATCTGAGCAAAGAACAATGTCCAATACCCCAGGTTGCAGACCCCCTGCGGGCATGCCGGTCACTCGCAGGAGCTCTGACAACAAAGCATAGTGGGCTCCGTGCTGGTCAGGCATTGGCTTGACTATGAAGTATGCAGCCTCAGGCATCTTGTTGAAGCATGATCCCTCTCGAAAAAATGTCTGAGCTTGCAGACATATGGCTGCTGATACTGCCCTTGACCTGGGTACAATGTAAAAGCCACAGGCTGCAATCTAGCCCATCTTTTGTGTTGGCCAAATTTGTATGCAAAGCGGAGCACAAACATCTGAGCCAGCTGCCACAAGCTTTCCAGTAGGAACCGTCGGCGGCATTGACCGAATACATCTCATTGGTGCCTACCTTCAAGTTCAATGAATTCAGTTCACGCCGCCTTTCAGCTCTCAGTGCCGGGCTGGAACGTCATAATCTTCACCTGGGATGAACAAATGCCTGAGGAGTCCTCTCATAAGCGTCAACCCTCAGCGTGTCTTTGGAGCGCTGGCCTTCAAGCCCCTTCCAGCCTTCACTTCAACAAATGACAACAAGGTGATGGAGAGGACCACGTTGACCAGCGCATGATAAGCAAAAATTTAGATTTAGAACAAAGCTCAGCGCCATCTTGATGGCTGAAATTGGCGGTCTTGCAAAGACTGTCACTGGGTCGTCTGCTGAAGTACAACACAGTGAGGTAACATCACTCAAGCACAGCAAGGGTCAGCCGGCTATCCTTGATCGCCAAGTCGCCGTTTGGGCCCCAAGCGACTGCAAAAGGAAACCCAGCCAACGTGCCATCGGGATCTGCTGTTTGCTCGAAGCTCAAGTCGGGGCTGCACGCCTGAAAAACCTTGGGTGAGCAGCGAGTGGAAAAAGCAGACCCATTTCTCCAGGCCTTCACTGTTGGGCTGAATGGAAACGACTTCATTTCCCGGGCTGGATGGGCTTCATGCATACAATGAAGCGCACCCAATCAGCGAACGTTTGGTCACAGGGGAGTGCTATGCGTAGCTGTCGCCACACACGTCACAAGTATATCTTGCTTCGAGTGTTCAACAAAACCAAGGGTGAAAGTACCATGTCTTACCGCTCTGTACCAGGATGGCAGGAAAGACCAAGCGAGGTGTTGGCTTGCACATTGATCAAGCCTAGACTGGAGCATCTCTGATCTCGGGTTCCTTGCGCGGAGCAAACAATGCATTGCACAGATCTTGCATAGAAGTGATAGAAGCCAGTCGGGCATTGAGCTTGTCCTAAAACTTGCACTTCGTGGACTTGACTTTAGAGACCTCAAAAGGCTTCTGTTCTAGCTTTGCTGGGCCTTCACTTTCATCGCCTGATGTTGCTCGGCCATCACCGGAGTGGCTCCTGCCCCTGCTGGCCGAACGTGCGTACATGTGGGCGGGCGTGCGTGCCGCTGGGCGGGCCGCTGGGCGGGAGGACGGTCATGAGAATTGCAAGCTTGATCGTCACAAGTGGACAGCTGGCTGGAAGTGTCAGAGAATTCTGCCAAAGTTATCCACAGCCCAAGCTACACAAAGCGCGCAAAAGGACCTTCCCCTCGTGGCATAGCATTCACATGCAAGCTGCAGGCCCCTCTTGAATATCTTTCGCCTCTCGGCATGTAGACAACCCAGCCCATGAACTGTGACAGCTGCTGGCACCCCAATGATGTTCAGCAGCTCGGTTGGACCGTGCGCCGTGCTCAAGTTCAATAAGTTTTTGCCTGGCAAGAACAAAGGCCAATGAAAACCTGGTCAATCAACTTTCGGGGATTCGTCGACTTTCGCACCATAAGCCAAGTAAGTGTCTATTAGGCCACAATGCCCCTGTCGCTGCACAAACTGCTTGTTGCCTGTTGAAGGAGGCAAGGCTCACAAGTGTGCATTCAATCCAGACACGTCGGTTGACTGCGCCGCAGATTGCTCAGTCAGCATCCCAAACATACTTCAGCCACTTATTCAAAATTCCGAGAGTTGAATGCCGAGCAGCGTTGTAATGCGTAATGCCAGTCACATCCGCTGGTGGATCCCAGGAAATAGTGCCTCGTAATTTCCCTTGGTTGGCAGAGGCAGTCTGCGCATGCGCAAAGGCCAGTAGGATTAGCTGCAAGACAAGACTCAGAGCTCATTCCAGTTGTCTGTGAACACTACGTTAGTGACCTGGCGCAGTTACACTTCATGGCTCCAGGACCCCTGTTCTGCGCACAAGCCTGAGCATTGCAAAGAGGAGGCCCAGCTGCAAGAAAAACGAAGCAGAAAGCTAACCTCAAGGGAAGAGACATCATCACTTCAATCAAGCAAAGCTGCACGAGTGGGTGCAAAACACGTGTATCTAGCAAAGCAGAGCACATCTGTGTTGCACCACAATACAGAACTCTTCGACACTTTTCAACATGCTGTACGTGTTCATCATAGCACTGTATGGCAAGGTATTGCGACAACGCCACTGGCATAACTTTGCATATATCGTGCACATATACATATATATATATAATATATATATATAAGTATGGACTCAAATATGTCGCACGTTGAAGCCCGGTCACAGCGATCGCGGTCTTTGGATCTGCTGTTGCTTCACAAGTCCAAGAGACTTGCAGTGCAGACGCCTCGCAAAGCTGGTGCGTCGAGAGCTATGAAAATTACTTGGCACTGCGTGAATGCCAAGAGAAAGTCTCCAGAAACTAAGCTGCTTAGCAACAACTTGTCCAACCGTAAGCCACCCACAACAAAGCAGTCACCAGGGATCGACACGGTAGGCAAGTGTGCACAAGTGGCCCAAGTTTGGTGTGCAATCGGGCCGAGGCCCACCTTCGGCGTACTGCATCAGCTGCAAATGCTGCAACCTCCGAGGAGTGAGTTTGGCATGAAGCTCAAAGCGGCAAAGAGCCTGTGCCGGAATTCGGGATGTGCTCGTTAGAGCGACGTGAAACGCCTTGGGAACAGAAATGCAAATGCAAAGCGCAAGTTTGCGCAGAAGGGCCGGGCATGCTCGGGAGGCATTGCTCTCTGAATGCTCCCCCCGTAATTAATCCCGCTTGCCCACTCGGCAAATGGCGGCAAGCGAATGCAGCATGCAGCAATTGTATAGTGTACCAGCAGTCTCAATCCAAACATGTCATGTCTGGAGCACGCTCAACATTTTGAAACATGATTCCAAACTAAAGCTCCATCAGATGGCAAATCAGCTTCAAAAGTCCTGCAAGCTCAAAGTGTAGCATCAAATGGGCAAAGTGCTGCCTGCCTCTTGCCGCAACCACTCCAGGATACACTTGGCCGAAGACAACCACCTTGGGTCATGCGCAAGCACTTGATACAACATATAAGCATCTGCCTCGAACCCAGCATGGCATCGTGCGGCACACCTCGCCATTCCATGAGAGATAGAGAAGCCCTAGCATGTACAAGAAGCAAGGCAGCACCCCGATGCACGGAAGAGTCCCGTGATTTCATAATGGCCCATCATGTTTGTCAAGTTCAATGCCTGCTGCCTGCATGCCCGACAAATCAAAATGCCTGTCTGCCGTGGCTTTACCACGTGCATGTGGCTTCTCCACTCCCCATGCATTTGTCTCACCTTGGAGCACTTGTGGCTCCACTCCATGGGCCGTGGCAGTCTCCTCAAGAGCCTGGCCGTTTGCCAATGCCGAGACGTCCTCGAAAGGAACCGAAGCTTCTTCCGAACTCATGTCAATCCCAGGATATACATGGGCATTCGCATCGCGGCAAAGCCGGCAAGAGAATTTTCGTCCACTCTGGCACAATGGTTTGCACTGTGTTTAAAATACGGCCTCGCACCTTTCTAGCTAGCGCATGCGGGCAATCGAACAGCGTGGCAAAATAGTAAGGTGCTTGTGTGCTTGTGTGCTTGTGTGCTTGTGTGCTTGTGTGCTTGTGTGCTTGTGTGCTTGTGTGCTTGTGTGCTTGTGTGCTTGTGTGCTTGTGTGCTTGTGTGCTTGTGTGCTTGTGTGCTTGTGTGCTTGTGTATTTGTGTGCTTGTGTGCTTGTGTGCTTGTGTGTTTGTGTGCTTGTGTGTTTGTGTGCTTGTGTGCTTGTGTGCTTGTGAGCTTGTGTGCTTGCGTGCTTGTGTGCTTGTGTGCTTGTGTGCTGGTGTGCTGGTGTGCTGGTGTGCTGGTGTGTTTGTGTGCTTGTGTGTTTGTGTGCTTGTGTGCTTGTGTGCTTGTGTGTTTGTGTGCTTGTGTGCTTGTGTGCTTGTGCGCTTGTGTGCTTGTGTGCTTGTGTTTGGTTGCTTGCTTGGATGCGTGCTTGCTTGCTTGCTTGATTGTTAGTTTTCTGCCTGTCTGTTTGTTGTCTGTCGGGGTTGGTTGGCTTGTGCGCTTGCGTGTTGCAAAAGCACGCTCAACATGAAACTGCCAGAAAGGCAGCGAACGCCTCCGCGCCACCTTTTGCAAGCACTTGGAGCGCTTTGTGGGTCTTCACTTGACACAAGGTGTCATGCCCTCAGGGCATGGCACTTCTTGAAATCATGGCTGTCTCTGTTACTCTCTGACGCTGGCTCTGCTTGAGAAACCAGCCGCGAACATTTGCTGGGCCCCTATGGCATCTCAAACCTTGTCCGGCCCCGCACCTTGCGCAGCCCACATACAAAAAAAGGCAAGGCTCAGCCCACCTCCAGCCACGGCTGGACAATGGCGAGAAGCTGAGCAAGTTGCCTTGGAAAGGCATTCGATGCGCCAGAGACGCGCGCCTCGCTTGCCTCCTCTGCTGCTGCCTTGCCATTCCAAGCGCCTGCCGCAAATCATGCTCCAAGATCAACATACGTTGGCAGGCGCTGCTGGGTGCGCGCCTTTGCCCGTAGCTCACCAGCTCGATGGGAGAGACCCTTTTGGACCAAGTGCATCTCCTCAGCCACACTACTGAAAATGCAACACCACAAAGGAAAGGCCCACACCTCCGCTGCGAGTCGTGGCCCTCTAGTGGCCAGCGGCAGCAGCAAGTGAATCAGGCACAGGTAGACCTAAGGAAAAAGGGCCACGCCGCAAAGATAGCACAAATGCGCAGCCACATACCGCAATACATCAACGACAGTACATTGAACATCACTTCCCAACGCGACTTTTACATACACATTCAACGACATTCCATGAAACGCTGGGCCAAGCAAAACATTCGGATCATTACACATACATGCATACATGCATGCATACATACATGCGTACACACAGACATACATACATACATACATACATGCATACATGCATACACGCATGCATACATACATGCGTACATACATGCGTACATACATACAACAAACATACATACATACATACATTGCATACATACATACATACATACATACATACATGCATACATACATTACATTACATTGCATTACATTACATTACATTGCATTACATTACATTACATACATACATTACATTACATTACATTAGACTACATACATTACATTACATTGCATTACCGTACAGTGCATTACATTACACACATTACATTACATTACATTACATTGCATTCCGTTACATTACGTTACATTACATTAAATTACATACACTACATTACGTTACATACATACATACATTACATACATTACATACATTACATACATTACATACATTACATACATTACATACATTACATACATACATACATACATGCATACATGCATACATACATGCGTACATACACACATACCTACATTACATACATACATACATACATTACACACATACATACATACATACACACATACATACATACATACGTTACATACATACATGCGTACATACATACATAAAAACATTACATACATACATACATACATACATTACACACCTACATACACACACATACATACATACATACATACTTACATACATTACATACATACATTACATTAAATTACATACACTACATTACGATACATACATACATACATTATATACATTACATACATTACATACATACACACATACATACATCCATACATCCACACATCCATACATACATACATGCCTACATAAATACATACATTACATACTTTCTCATGCATACATACATACGTACATACATTACATACTTCCTTACTTACTTACATACATGCATACATACATACACAGACATACATACATACATACATAAGATACATACATACATACCTACATACATACATACATACATACTTACATACATTACATACATTACATACATACCTACATACATACATGCATGCATGCATACTTACATACATACATACATACATACTTACATACATACATTCCATACATACATACATGCATAAATACATACATACTTACACACATACATAGATTACATACAAACATTACATACATACATACATACATTACACACATACAAACATACATTACATACATACATACATACGTTACATACATACATGCATACATGCATACATACATACGTACGTGACATACACATAAATACATACATACATACATACATACCTTACACACATTCATGCATTACATTAAATTAACTTACACTACACAACAAACCATAACATAACATTACAGACATACATACAAACATTCATTACATCACATACATTACATTACTTACTTACATACATACATACATACAACTACATTACATTCATTACACACATTACATATTCACATTACATTACATTACAGCACATTGCAGTACATTACGCTACACGACATTACGTTACCATACATACATAAAATTACATACAATCCCATACGATACTTACAATACATGGCGCCATCCCTCCTGGCTTCGCAAGAGGCGCCATCCTCCACTTGGAGTTCAAGCTGGCCAAGCGCCCCTCAGGCTCAGAGACCCAAATAAGTGTGGCCAAGGGAAGCGCTGCTGCCTAGTCAGGCCTATGTATGTATGTATGTATGTATGTATGTATGTGTGTATGTATGTAATGTATGTAATGTATATAATGTATGTATGTATGTATGTATGTATGTATGTATGTATGTATGTGTGTATGTATGTATGTAATGTATGTAATGTATATAATGTATGTATGTATGTATGTATGTATGTATGTATGTATGTATGTA